CTCTTAGCTAGCTTCTTGAGTGCTTAGCAAACCTCCCAAGTACATCCATAACTCAATAGTGTACAGTACATTGGGGTGTTTACCATTCTTTTTAAAACAGAACATTGACACATTGTGGCATAAGAGCTTGCTTTTATCTAACACTGAAATCTTATTTGACCAGAAAAAAACAAGCTTGCAGAAACTAGTCTTTGCATTTGCAAGCATACACCCATGGGCAAATGGTGGACACTGAATTGACCAATCAGAGCATGCACTTTACTTTGGTTATGTTATAATTTCTCCTCTTTCATAGGACAAGTACCCACACTCACTTTTATTTAGTTGCAGTAATCTACATGTATCAGTGAACACCAAGCCAAGAGATTTTTTCTGAATTTGGAAAAATGTTGGCAACAGTGCTGATCAGGTAAATGAGAAACCCTCTTACCTTTTCCCGTTTTCATCAACAAATGGGATCTTCTTCTTGGCAATGTGAAACTTGAGTGATGGTTCATGCTCTCTAAGGTAAAAGATATGAAAAACCAAAAAAGGGAGATCACATTATGTTTTAGGTAATTGACTGATGGGGGGGAGGGGGTGGGGGTTGAGACACTCTACTCACCCCATGGCATGCAGCCCTTATAAGGGGGAAATTTTGTACAAAGTCGTTCACCTTAAGTCTGACACAGGGCTAGACATGTTATAATTATGATAGTGAGCTTCTGTCAACTGTTTTTTTGGAATTTTCATGACTTATATGTTCAACTCAGTCTTAAGCAATGCTTTTTTACTTGATTAATTGATTACAGGAAATAATGATCATATAAATACTGAAAACAAAATTTCTTGACCAGGGTTGAACATTATTTTAGTAATGAATCAAAATATTGACCAGACGATGAAAAAAAAAATGTGGCAGGAAAAAACAATATCACAAAGTACAGATTCTAAATTAGAAAGTGCACAAACATGCAAATAATTGTTTTGTGCTACAATTAAACAAACTCAACTGAAGATTTAATTCAACTGATTGTTGCATTTATCAGAGGCATAAAATATTTAAGTGAGTGAAGCACCTTGAGTTCCATTTTTACAAACACTTACGTAACAATTTTCTCCAAGAAGTCCATAGTAAAGAAATGATTGCAAATGTTTCCATCTCGAAATAAGAGCCTATCATTGTTGTCAGGGTCTTTCATCTCTGCAATTTCTTTTGATATCTCACTATACTCAGCAACCTGATCAAAAATACTTATTTAATACCAAAAAAAAAAAAAAAAAACCTCAATGTGCTTTGCACATATTTTAATAACAGGCATTAATCTGCTGCCTGTCTTGAGTAGTCCTTTTTATAGTCGTGGGCTTGGTGGCCAAGCCTTTGAACAGGAGAGAGGCTAAGGGTGACCCTGTTGTGATAGAGACCTGTATCTAGTTAGCATTAAAACAAAGAAATTTGCATTTAAAAAGCAGCAACATCTCTATCACTGAACAAGGTCACCCTTAGCTTAACTCCTGTTCAAAGGCTTGGCCACCAAGCCCACAACTGTGAATAGGACTATTGGAGATTAGGCTTCTGGAAAGTTAAGCCATGAAAAGAAATCATACAGCCTTTAGCAATTATTTTTGTCTTACAATTTGTTTGCTAGATAATGTATGAATGTTAAGGAGAGAAGATACATGTAAATCCCTTCTGGGAGTTGGTAATGCCTTAAGGTCAAGATAATGGGACAAACTTTCTGTAGTTTTCATTTACCCTTCATAATTAAAGAAATGGTTGTTAAACATCATGCTACCTATTAAATAGAATGTGATTTTCTTTGTGTGACACCTGGCAAAACAAGGTAAAATTTTCTCTGCAAAAAAATCCATTCTCATGAAATAATATGTAGAGGAAAAAGTTTGCATCAATGTTTTTTTTTTTATTTTTTTATTTTTATGGCTCTCTATCCATGGCCTGTTATTGAAAAGGACAGAATCTATAACTGAACCTAAACACTTGGAATACCATTCCATGTTTGGTTTGGTTTGATGGATAAAATTATAGTTGTGAGGCTGGCCATAAAGTAATATTTTGACAAACAATTTTTTGAAAATTTGACAAATAATCTGATTCTTGCAGAAACAGTTTGCAATGAAAATTCCTTTTTCATGTTAAGTTATACTACAAATGACTAACCTGGTATTTGCCCTCACATTTCACAACAACTCCAACTCTCTCACCTGGAAGTGTTTTCTCAACGACCTGCAATAAAATGATAACAATCTGCCTAGGTGATTCACATAAAATACTATTATTTGATCATTGATTTGATAATTTATTGCTTATTTGTACAATTAATTTTATTGAAAAAATGAGATCTAAAATGCATTTTTTAATTATGTATTCTGTTTACCAACACTTAAGCAAGTAATTTAATTCATTTGCTAGCTTTTTAACAGCTACACTGCCAGTCTGACTAAATGGTAAGCATATAATTATAGTTTAGAGGGTATTTACAAGCAAGCTTTAACAGGGAGATTGTTATTGAAACTAGATATATATCTGCACGAATCAATGCACTTGTAATGGAAAAATATAGGCACAGTTTTCAAAAGCTTTTCACTGACACTAATTTCATATGAAAATTGCATAACTATGAATGAAAAAATTATACCATGCGAAAGGTACAGTATGTGAAAGCATTTCAATACCATTCATTAACAGTACCTGAAAAATGTGTTTGACCTCCCTTCCAATCAGTGTCTCCACACGCCTTTCCAATAATTCTTACGAACCATTATTCTCACTTTTTAACATATCTCTGAAAATATTTGGTCACCCTCCGTTAACAGGGTCCTTTACGAAAATTCCACACCTTTGAGCCAAACCAAGATGGGAGGTATAATATTTCACCAGCACAATGAAGCACTGACCTTAGCACCACATTCTGCTGACTTGTCAACACAAAATCCAATGAACACAGGATCGGCCATCTTGACAAGGATGTTGTCAACACAGTACACATGAACATACTCTATTCCATGCTGTCTCATTGTACTAATAGTAACATGGTTGTCTACACCATCATCACCAAGAGCTGCGTACAAACCACCGTTTCCACCTGGAGCTCTTGCAACTTTACCACATTGATCAAGAATAATTTTTCCTTCCATGGTCAGACAAGGAATGGTGTGCTGCTCAAAGAAGAGGACATTATTTCTTTGTAGCCCAAAGTAATCGTGTTTTTCAAAAAACTTTTTTGTTTCTTCCATGGTGTGTTCACTTGTCATGATGTACCTGCAGTGGTGTGACAATATGCTGTTAATAAATTTCAAAGTTCCTACAAAATAAAATCTGCAACATCTCCTTAGAGGGTGCTGAATGGATTATAATTATGTGACATGGATTAAAATTTTAAGACTAAAATTAATGTGTGATGCATGAATTTTACAAAAAGTTGAGCATGATTCATGAATTAATGAACCAGTGTGAGGTATAATTTGCTTAAATATGAAATACTGTGTACATGACCCAGAAATTTTTCTTTCAGTTTGTGAAAACTTTGAGATTTCCCCAAATTGCTCTATATAAGGAGAGGTTTGAAGTTATCCCTTTCATGAATGTGATGCATGAATTTTTCTAAAATCTGTATATGAAACAGGATCAAGACCCATTTACTATCCTTTCATTATTCCCATAATGAAAGCACCAAATTACTCCTCTAAGTTTATTTTTTCAGTTAAGCTACAACCAAATTTGAAGGCAAATAACAAACAATCAGGATCCTTCATAATCCACAACATAATCACTGATACCTGAAGACTGTTGGTATGAGGGAAGAAATTTCGTTATTATTTACTGATAAAATAATTAGCCTACAACTAAGTGAAAAAGTTTGGAGTTTCAGTGAATAACAGCTCGATAGATTTCACCTCCTAGTCAATACATGTCTCCCCCCACCACCCCTCCCCAACCCATGGTAGTACTAAGGGCTTTTATGGTAGTACTCTGGTTACGATACTCAAACACAGTGCTTAATGATTAGTAGTCCTTACTTTAGAAACTGCCGACGGGATGAACCACAGTAGCCCTATATTCAAAAGTTGTTCTCACATGACTCTCACGAGATTACATACCTTACTACAAACTTATTAGTAACAACAACAAAATTATAACGCCTTACGCGCTGGGAGAGTCCCACAATAACTTAATTTATATTGATCTCGATATTACGTACCTAGAATCGCATTTCAAGAAATTGTGAACGTTATTTGCTAGTCGTAAATAAATTCTAAGTTTAAGCTAAGAAGAGGTGATATTCATTTCATATTGGGCTGACAGGAAATTGTTTTTAAAAATTAGCGAAAACGATTAACAGACAATGAACATTGCGCTCATACAAAAGAATTTAAGTTGTGCCTTACCAAGGAACTGTAGATTTCTTTCCGGTCAGTTCATAAGCCAATTCTTGCACTTTTAAGATTCTCTCGGCTTGAAGTTGATATAATGTCTTTTGTGATGGTAAGCCGACATTGTACATTCCCTTCGGATAAGAGACTCCAAGACGGGTTCCTTGTCCACCGGCGAGAAGCAGTACAGCGACTTTTCCTTCGCTTATCATCTGTAGACCTTTTTCATTCCAAATGGCAACTTTGTTTTCATTTTTCGCTCCTATTGCACTACCAACTATCTGTGGTGGAACCGGCTCCAGTTTCTCATCTTTCTTGTCACTTGCTTTGGCTTCGTGCATGGTCTTCTCGAACCAGCGGTTTATTTTGGCGAAATCGATGTGCTCGAGATCTTTGTAAAAATCAGACTGCTCTTTATCGTTAAGCGAATCCCAATGCAGAAGTAAATGATCTTGATTGTTCTCTTCGAGCTCACTTCTTAAGTTTTCGATGTCCATTATAGCGGAGGTGATAGCCGTTCGAGATTATTAATGAAACCGGCTATGTACCCGCCAAAGTCAACATCAAGCGTGATGCCGGTAAAAGTGGCGTGAGGTGACAAGGCTGAATAACGTATACGCATGCGCTACATTTTGCCGCGGAAACACGGATTTTGAGTCGTTCACAAGGTTGCACGTCATTGCCGCCATGTTGGTGGACGTAAACAATAGATTTCTTACTAGCTTCTTTTGTTCGTCCACCAGCATTTGTCCCTTTCACCATTGTTACCTGTGTCTATAGAGATTGGTTGCAAACCACCTATTCTGTTGCTTCGAGGCGTCGTTTTCCTTGCCGCTTTTCATTTACAGAACAACCTCCAAAAA